TATATATATAGACAGAGATTGCGTTTTGACTGAAGACGGGTAAAACACTCACGTTCACCGTATCCCACCAGCAGCACAGCATGGTCAATCATCCAGGGATTGCAGAAGATCTTCCATGGATGACTCACACCCTTTTTATAAAACTACAGAGATGAAAGAAACAACTGAATAAATGTGTGATGGTGTCGATTCTGCAACACTTTATATGCGGGTCTCGAACAGTTGGCTCTCCATCATCTGTAGTTAGTCCAGAATGCCGCTGCACGTCTTTCAACAGGTACTAGAAGTAATGACATCACTCCTGTTTTAGCTGACTTACCTGCCTGTCCTTAAATTTAACATTCTTTTCCTCACTTTCACAGTTTTAAATGGCATGGCACTTACTGTAGTTATTTGTTGGAACGTTGGCTCTTTTACCACTCAAACAGAGCAGTGAGATTTTCTAGTCAGATGTTTTTAGTGCAGCCGGGGCTAAACTGAAGCACAGAGGGGGTTGGGCTTTTGCTGTGGCAGCTCCCAGTTTCTGGAACAAACTGTCTCTCAACATTACAGAAACTGTTCGATCGTTCAAATCCTGCCAGAAAACTCACCTCTTTTTTACACTGACTTTTAGTTCAGTTCAAGTTCAGTTTGAGTTCCATCAGAAGTTTGCATTTGTGTCTATTTTCTTGTTTTTAATTCATTTTTATTTTATTTTATTATACTTGTAGTTTTAAATTGTTTGATCTTTTAAATCTTTATTGTATATTTTTTCCTCCTTGTAAAGCACCTAGGTCAACTATGTTAAGCCCTAAGGAGTTTTAGAGGTAATTTCCGCCTGAAAATCCACAGCAAAATAAGGCAAGAATAGCTCCACAGTTATAAGGTCTAAATGCTAACTCTTGGTACCTCTGTAAAAGTAAGATGTTAAAGATAATTTCTTAAGTGAAACCATTATTGTAACTCTTACTGTGCCTGAGTTATTTGTGATTAAATAAAGAAAATTTGTAATTTTTTTAGCCTCGCCTAAAATTTTTTTTAAATAAACATTGCAAAACACAATGAAAACTCTTGTGAAAACCCAGGAATGCCCTTAGATTTTATACATCTACATCTTGAGAAAAATTGTAGCAAAGTAGGACTGAATTAGTTAAAGTATTTTCATTTCACAAAGGTTTTAGTGTGCAGTGTGCCAGGCGGAAATGGCATTTTGGCACAATCTAGCCAAATGTACCCAAAACTGTGCCAAATGGGTCTAATCTGGTCTAATAAAAGTGTTAATTTCTATTATAGGACTCATTCTCATATGACATAACCTTTTCTTTTTCCATTTACACTGTGCATCATCAAAATCTACCATTGTGCACACCATGAAATCACTGAATGGAACGTAACTCCACCTCAACGTTTTACGTATGAGGGCTGTTATTTATACTCTCGGTTACACACAAACTTCACCTCACCAAACAAAGAGTAATACAGTGCCAAGATATATCCCTGAATTCGTGAAAGCTTTGTCTTTTCAAAGATACAAAAGGGAGGACTATGGAACCAACTTCCTGATAATGAAACGGTCCATGACAGTTCAAGTAACTTACAAATGTTTATATAGCTCTAAAATCCTAAATATTTACCCAAAAATAATTTGACGACTCATTTTAAAAACATTAAAGACACCTTTTGTGACTGACTTAGAAAAAAATTTGGGAAAAATAAGTTTTCACCTACTTTAGCAAACAACAATGAATGACACCATCTGCTGGACCTGTACAGGGCCCGTCGGGCTTAAGTTATACATTGATTGATTGAAATTCTGATTTATTTGTATGAACTTTGCTCACCTGCATAGCAAAGGCATTCAGAGCAACAGAGACTGGTCCATTCTCTGCCAACCAAGCTGCAATTTCTGAAGATCAAAAAGTAAAAAGTCAATAAGAACCTGGTAAATTTAGCTACACCTTAGTAATAAGACTTGTATATCCCTCACCCTTCTCATCTTTGGACAGTTCCACAGAGCTGTTGATGTAGGCAGCTACCTTCTTGTCTGTGAAATCACAATTCTGCTTGTGTCCAGTGTAGGAATAGTCTGTTTCAGTCTCCAGACCACCTTAACACATAAAAAATATAAAAAAAAACCTTTAGTTTGAACTAAACATCTATTCATCTGGTTCTGACATATGGCAAAGAACGTAAACATCCTAACAATCCTGTTCTCTCTGACTAGTTTTAATAACCTTTGAGTTTAAATTAGCTGACTACACAGCTACTGAGAGTAAATTTTATTATAGTAGATGTTTATCAGAGAATGCTGTAGCTAAATTTAAAGAATCTCTTCCATCTTTATTTTCCTCTGTCTTTAAGGTTAATTTAACAGAGAGCAGTAACTATTGATAATATTACAACTTTAACACAAACATCTCTTGACAAAATTGCTCCACTAAAAAAGAAAGTAATCGATCAGACTCTGGTTTAATTCAGAGTTACGTTCTTTAAAACAGGCATCTAGAAAGCTGAAAAGAAAAGATGGATGAATTTTATTTGACTTGGAGTGAAAGCCTGCTGACATAAACACGTGGACACAATTGTTGGTACCCCTCGTTTAATGAAAGAAAAACCCACAATGGTCACAGAAATAACTAGAAAGTCTTTTGTAAAGCTAGAACTTCATCTGTAATAGAAGAGAATAAAAACAATCCCAGGTTTCTGTTCAGTACTGTAACTAGACTAATGAGAAGTCCTATCTCTGTTGAGCCATGTATCCCAATAACTCTAAGTAGTGATAACTTTACAAGATTCTTTATAAATAAAAGAGATAAAATACACCAACCTTCATGCTATTGCCTCTGATCCTTTGTCAGATAGGTAGTTTTTATGTCACTAGAACCTGATTTATGTTTGGACTGTTTTTGTCCTATAATAATGAACTTCTTCTTACACCAGATTAGACATGAGTTCCTCAGGGTTAAGTGCTTGGACCAATCCTCTTTACTTTATTAATACTTCCATTGGGTGGAGGGCTGAATTTAATTTTTATGCTGATGATACTCAGTTATATTTATCCATGAAACCTGATGAATCTAATCAGTTACTAAGATTACAGACATGTCCTAAAGCAGGGGTTATCAAACCTTTTGGGTCTGGGGACCCCTTACAAGGGTGAAAAATTTCCAGGTAGAAATTTCCTCATTAACCCCATGTAATGATGGGGTTTGCGAGTTTCACTGATTGCTCAGACACCAGAGACGTTTTAAGGATTTTATTAAAACTGGAGCAGCAGCGTCGGGACCGACACATCACCGGGACACGGAGGTCTAAACAAGAGATGATCAGGTTAGTGACTAACAAAGTCAGTGGCAGAGCTTTGGAGCAGAAAATAGTCACTAACCTTTTTAGTGGCAGAGTTTTAGGAGCTGAAACCTTGAAAGACTTTGAGAGTCTCAGGTGACGATGGTTCCTGGCACTTCCGTGTTTAGTGCTGCGGCGTGATACGCAGGCTTGAGGAGAATCCGTGAGACAGGCGTAGGTCAAAACCATGTGGTCAGATATCAGTGACAGGTTAAGGGGGTCAGACTTAACTCGTGGTACACAGGCAGGGGTCGAGATCCGTGGGTCCGATGACTGGGCAAATCCAATAGGGGCTG